GATATAGGGAGACTCTTGTTTCAAAAACAAAAAATGGCTGGGAATGTAGCTCTACTAGAAGTGTGCTAATCCCTGAATTGAGTCCCCGGCTTTACCTAACCTGAGTGTGGTAGTGCTCACCTACAATCACAGCATTTAGGAGGTTGACTTAGGAGGCTTAGATAGTCAGAGTCATCCTCAGCTACTTAGCAAGTGCAGGGTCAGTCTGGGCTACGTGAGATCCTGTTTCAAAGAAAGGAAACCCCCCAGTACCTCTCATTGCTGTTAAAGTCATGCCCCATTATTATTGGGCGTTGAGAAGTTGTTTTTGTTTTTCTCTGACCACTCTTGCCTTACATACACTTTAGGGGCTGTGTGTTGGGCCATAATCTTCACTTGCGAATGTGTGGGTCATTTCTCCAGGGCTCCAACATGGAGGGAAGTTCTTAGGCCCAGAGTATGTGCCATGCCACTGTTGGTTGTGGGTGGGTTAAAAGCCTTCAGGAGCTGATAAACAGCCGTCTTTGGTTATGTGTCAGCTTTGGAAATACTCCATCACTGTTTCTCTCTAGGTGCTAAAAGTGACATGTACTCAAAATTGGAGGATGTTTCAAGGAGTTTGAAATATTTATTCCACACATGTGGAGGTCAGAAGACAACTTATGGGGGTCAGTTCTCTCCACTGTGGGTTTCAGGGAGCTGAACCTAGGTAGTCACATTCAGCTGCGAGCACCTTTACCCACTGGACTGTCTTTTATTTATTTTTTTAAAAGAATTTTTATGTGTATGGGTGCTCTGCCTGCATGTTTATCTGTGCACCACATGCATATATGATGCCTGAGGAAGCCAGAAGAGTGTGTCAATCCCTTGAGACTGGGGTTACAAACAGTTGTAAGCTGACATGGGGGTGCTGGGGATCAAACCAGTTTCTCTAGAAGAACAGCCACTGCTCTTAACTGCTGAACCCTCTCTCCAGCCCCACGCTTAACTTCTTACCAGCTCAATTTCAAAATTTTAAATGGACAGTTGGTTGTGACACTAGCTGATACCTTCCTGTTGTCTCCCTCTCTCCCTCCGTTCTTTCCCGCTCCTCTCTTCACCTCCCTCCTCCTCCTTCCTTCTATTTCTCTCTTTTTATATTTTTTCTGAGGTAGGGTTTTACCATGGTAGCTCAGGCTGGCCCACTCACTGTCAGGCTGAACCCTGACTCTAGATCTTCCTGCCTTCACTTTCTGAGAGTCAGGATTAGAGAGGTGTGTGCCACTATACCCTTCCATCTAGTACTTTCTGTAAGTCTTTATAATTTAAACAGTAGAGATTATATAGCTTTTTGTTTTGAAACACTCCCCATCAAAAAAAAACCCAAAAAACAAAAAAACAATTGTACTTAAGTAGGATTGGTGTGAGTTAGATGGTACGCTCAGTGGGGGACCTTTTGCATCCTGAATATCTGGGACAGTAGATAGCCATGACATAGTGTGACCTGGGACAGTAG